GGTTTTATGAAAACACCAATAAAATAGATAAATCATTGGTTAATATGATTTAAAAAAGAGAGAAAACCAAATCATTGGTATCAAAAATGAAAACTGGTGAATATACCACCAATGAAGATGAAATCAAAACAATTATTAGGAGTGATTTTGCCCAATTATACACCAATAAATTTAACGATTTAAGTGAAATGGGAGAATATCTACAAAAACACAAGTTGCTTAGATTAACAGAAGAGTAAATTGAATATCTAAATAAACCTATTTTAGAAAAAGAAATTGAACAAGCCATAAATGAGCTTCCTAAGAAAAAAGCATCAGAGCTTCTACATTAAGGGACTGGAGGGCATGGAATATAATATTCCGGAGGGCAAAGGAGATAGGATTACAACCAAGAATCACCTACCCAGCAAAACTGAGTATAATCCTTCAGGGGAAAAAATAGTCATTCAATGAAATAGGGGACTTTCAAGCATTCTTGATGAAAAGACCAGAGCTGAATATAAAATTTTACTTTCAAATACAAGACTCAAGTGAAACATAAAGAGGTAAACAGGAAAGAGAAATCATAACAGACTTATTAAGGTTGAACTGTTTACATTCCTGCATGGAAAGATATTTATAACTCATGAATCTTTTGTCAGTATTAGGGTAGTGGGAGGGAAAAAAATTATACGTATAGATAGATAGATAGATAGATAGATAGATAGATAGATGGATAGATAGATAGAGGGCACTGGGTGAGTTGAAGATGAAGGGTGATATCTGGAAAATAAAGTTAAGGGGTAAGAGAGGATTATACTGGGAGAAGGAAAAAGGGAGAGGTAGAATGGGGTAAATTTTCTCACATGAAACAGACAAGAAAAGGCTTTTACAGTGGAGGGGAAATGGGGGAAGGTAAGAAGAAACAAGTGAATCTTATTCTCATAGGATTTGGCTTAAGGAGGGAATAACATACACCATCAATTGGGTACGGAAATCTATCTTACCCTACAGGAAAATAAGGGAGGAAAGGGACAAGAGAGCAGGGTGATGATAGAGGGGAGGGCAGACTGAGGGAGGGGAAAATCAGAAGCAAACACTTCTGAGGAGGAACAGGGTCAAAAGAGAGAATAGAATAAATGGGGGGTAGGATAGGATGAAGGGAAATATATTTAGTTTTTCACAACACGACTACTATGGGAGTGTTTTGCATGACTACAAAAAAAAAAAAGCATCAGGACCAGATGGGGTTTACAAGTGAATTCTACAAACATTTAAAGGTCAACTAGTCCCAATATTAAATAAATTACTCAGAATAATAGGAAAAGGAGTCCTACCAAATTCCTTTTATGAAACAAATATGGTGCTGAAATCTAAGTTAGGAAGAGCAAAAATAAAGAAAGAAAATTATGGACCAATTGCACTAACCAATTTGTATGCAAAAATTCTAAATAAAATACTAGCTAGGAGACTCTAACCATACAACAAAGATCATGTATTATGATCCAAGTAAGATTTATACCGGGAATACTGGGATCGTTTAACATAAAGAAAACTATTAATATAACTGAATATATCAATAACAAAATTAACAAAAATGATATGATTATATCAATACATGCAGAAAAAGCTTTTGATAAAATACAACACTCATTCCTATTAAAAATACTTGAAAGCATAGACACAAATGAATTTTTCCTTAAAATGATAAGAAGTATCTACCTACAACAATTAGCAAGCATTATTCATAACGGGAATGAACTAGAAGCCTTTCCAACAAGATCTGGAGTGAAATAAGGTTGCCCACTGTCACCAACATTATTCAGTACTGTATTAGCAATGCTAGTAATAGGGGCAGCTAGGTGGCGCAGTGGATAGAACACTGGCTCCAGAGTCAGGAAGACCTAAGTTCAAATCTAGCCTCAGAAACTTGATACTTACTAGCTGTGTGACTCTGGGCAAGTCACTTAACCCCACCTGCCTAGCCAAAAAAGGAAAAAAAAATGCTAGCAATAGCAAATAAGAGAATAAAAAGAAACTGAAGGAATCAGAACAATGGTACAATGATATACTTAGAAAATCCTGGAAATTCAATTAAAAAGCTATTTGAAACAATTTTAGCAAAGTAGCAGGATAAAATATAAACCCACATAAATAATCAGCATTTCTTTTTTGATGAACAAAACCCTGCAAGAAAAGCCAGAAAGAGAAATTCCACTTAAAGTAACTGCAGACAATATAAAATACTTAGGAGTCTACCTGCCAAGGCAACCCCAGGAACCAGATGAACATAATTATAAAACGTTCTTTATAGATTGGAGAAATATTAATTGTTCAAGGGGAGGCACAGCCAATATGATAAAAATGACAACTGTACCTAAACAAGTCTACCTATTTAATGCCATCCCTTACAATTAAATTATCAAAAAATTGTTTTATTGAGCTAGAAAGAATAATAACAAAATTCATCTGGAAAAACAAAAGGCCAAGAACATCAAAGGAATTAATGGAAAAAAAAATGTAAAGGAAGGAAGTTGAGCAGTACCAGATCTTAAACTGTATTATATGGTGGTAATTATCAAAACTCTCTGGTACTGGCTAAGAAATAGAAAGGTGGATCATTGGAACAGCGCAGACATACACAGTATACAGTAGTCAATGATTCTAGCGACCTTGTGTTAGACAAACATAAAGATTTAAGCTTGTCAGATAAGAACTTACTATTTTGTAAAAACTGTAGGGAAAATTGGAAAGCAGTCTGGTAGAAAATGGGTATAGACCATTATCCTACACCATTTACCAAGACAAGGGAAAAATGGATACACGACCTAGATGTAAAGGGAGATGTAAGAAAATTAGATGAACACGGAACATATTACCTATCAGGCTTATCCAACAGGAGAAGAATCTTATGAATAAAGATAAAAAGAGAACACTGTGAGATGTAGAGTGGATAATTTTGATTATATTAAATTAAAAAGGATCTGTATAAATAAAACCAATGTGACCAAGAGTAGATGGAAAGCAGAAAATTGGGTAAAAATTTCTATAGATAGTTTTCCATATAAAAGTCTCATCTCAAATAAAGAGAGAACTTTGTCAAATTTGTAAGAATACAAGTCATTCCCCAATTGATAAATGGTCAAAGGATATGAACAGGCAGTTTTTCTATGAAGAAATTAAAACTACATAGTAATATGAAAAAATGTTCTAAATCATTATTGATAAAAGAAATGCAAATTAGATCAACTTTGAGATATCATCTCACACATATCAGATTGGCTAAAACAACAGAAAGGGAAAATGATAAATGTTGGAGGGGATGTGGAAAAACTGGGACACTAACACACTACGCTGTTGGTGGAATTGTGAACTCACCTAACCATTTGGAAGAGCAATCTGGAATTATGCCCAAAGAGTTATAAATTTGTATATACCTTTTGACCCAGTAATACCACTATTAAGTCCGTTTCCTAAGGTGATCAAGGAAAAAAAGGAAGAATCTAGTTGTTCCAAAATATTTATAGCAGCTCTCTTTGTAGTGGCAAAGAACTGAAAATTCAGGAGATGCACAAATGGGGAATGGCTAAACAAGTTGTGGTATTTGACTGTGATAGAATACTACTGTACTGTAAGCCATAAGGAGCAGGATGACTTTAGAAAAACATGGAAAAACTTGCATGAAATAACGAAGAGTGAAATGAACAGAACCAAGAGAATATTGTATACATTACAGCAATATTATTCAAAAATTAACTGTGAACGAGTAAGTTATCCTGAGTATCAGAAATACTTAAATCAACTACAAAGGACCTATGAAGAAAGATACTATCTACCTCCAGAGAAAGAAACGATAAATAGAAGTATGCATAGTATGGTTGGTTTTACATATATTACACAGACACATACACCTGTGTCAAATGTAGCCTTCTCCAGCATGAGGTGGGGAGGAAAAGAGGGAGACAGTTCAGAACTTATAAAACAACAAAAATAAATAATAAAAAATAACAATTTTCATAATAAAAAATACAATTTTTTCAAAACAATTTTTTTTTCAAAAAGGCTTTGTGTTAACAACTATAGCAAAACAAAAGTGTTTACAGGTAGTCACTACTTTCCACCTTGGCAGTTAACTCCATAACATTTTGTATGGCTGCTGCATGCAACCTGGTGGGATTCTGTGAAAATGCTATCTGCTTTTTAACTCCTCTGTTTTGTTAGGCGTCCACAAAATTAAATACAGCAAAGAAGCCTAACTCTATGAAAATCTTGAAGTAGTATGAAGTAGTACTTGGTGAAGTAGTACGGACATCCTGTATTTGAGGATTAGTACATTAATCTACCAAACTTCTTTTGTTAAAACCCTTCGTAGCTTTTTAAACAAATACTCACCCATGAGGAGTAATCACTTAGCCCTACTGTGTTGGACTTTTGGGAAAGAAGGTTATGCCTCCCTGAGGCATAACTAAACTCAAAATGAAGTTTCCAAAGTATATTAAATTAGATCCCCACTGTATTCCTTATCTGAATAGAAAGCAGCTTCCAAAGTATATTGTCCTACATGGCCACCTGCACCAAGTAGCATAGGTTCTAATTGGGCAAGGAAAGGCAATAGATGGGGAGGAAAGCTTTCACTAAGCCTATGAATAGAAAAAGCATTTTTTAAAGTGTTAATTTGCAGAACACATCTTCTCCATAATTAAGGCAATACAGTAAACCTATTTTCAGCACGAAGTACCTCAGGAGGCAAAATGATAGTGTGACTATCATTGGGTAGTAAATAAATGAAAAGAGGGAAATGCTTGTGGGGGTGGTAAGAGAGAAGGCAAAGGAGGAAAATGCGAACAACTGGTGGTTTACATCACCCAGAACAAAAAAATTAAATGTTTAGATGGTGGCAAGGGGGAAAAGAAAAAAAATGTTCTGACTGCCTAAAGAATTAAAAAAGACTGCTTTTATCTTAACTTGATGTCACTATGCTTATGCTCTGTGATTTTCAAACATGTCCAAAGGTTCCATACCTTTGAATGCTCCAAAAGGAAGTCTGGAAGGAGGTGAACCTGTGCCAGTAGCTCCGTATAGTTGTGACAAGGAAAATAATAAATATGAGAGAGTATGCTTTCTAGGGAGAAGGTCTCCAATGCTTTTTGGTACTCTGAAACAAACAACAACAGGTCCTTAGATAATGATTTATTTATAATCTTATTATTTTGTTGAGGATAGGAAAATAATAAATTCAATAACAAGAGAAAACATTATACCTCCTATTAAATTCAAAAAAAGTTACAAAAAATGGAAGCAAAGAGACTGAGGACTCCTGGTTTCTCTGGATTATGTTACTGTTGGTTAAAATATCCAACTCTGAGTTATGTCTTGAGTTCTACTTTCAGCTTTTCTACTGAATGCTAAGATCTGGAAAAAAATTACAATGTCTGTGATCTACTTCTCCCTCATATTTGTAAGAGGTAGGGTAAAAATCTATACTATGTCCACAAATTAAGACCTGGGCTTAAGTCCTAGCTCAATAACTTACAAATTATGTAAGGTCGAACAAATCATCCAAACCCTCTGAAACTTTTCCTCATTTGCAAAATAGAAATAACAAAACCTGTACTACCTACCTCACAGGGTTGCTACAAGAAAAATATTTTATAAACCTTGAAAAGGTAATAAAAATGTAAGTTAAAGTATTACTAATAAAAACGTTAGCTATTATTAATATGGCCAGATCATGATTTCCATCTGTTTCACAAACAGAAAAAGGATGTTTTAAAGTTTATTCCATGTGCATTTTTTTTCTCATGCGCTTTTAAATACCAAGACATTTCAAAGGCAAAAATTTATGAATATGTTTGCTTACTGAAGTGGAATACTTTGAAATTAAATCAGAAAAAGATGCAAAACAAAAACACAACATTCTCTTCCTCTTCAAAATAGACCAGCCGAAAATGAAATTCTTAGGTTTCAGAGACATAGGTAGGCAGCTTGCTACATCAAGAACCGATACACTTAAGAAGAGAAAAATTCAAAGATTTAGAATTGGAAGGGTCCTCAGAGGACATCTAATGCAACCCCTTTATTTTACATATGAGAAAACTGAGGCCTAGGGAGAAGTGACTTGCTGAAATCACATATACATTTAAGTAGCAGAGCTGGAATTTGAATACAAGTCCTTTGCCTCCAAATCCAGCATATGCTTTTCACTGTTATCATACCAACAGCTATTACTTTAAATACTCACTAAATCTGCTTAATGTTTTCAACAAACAACAAAAATAGATATTTTAATCCTAGTAGGTCACATAGAGTAGTGGCTAATAAAATATTTCGCTTTACATTTATGTGCATGTGTCATACAATTTTATCAGACTCCATGAAGGCAAGGGCTATGCCATATTTTATATGTGTCTAGCACAGCATGTGTTCTGTGCTTTTGGCACAAAGCAAGTGATGAATAAATGCCAAACTGAACTGCATACTGTCTATTCAAAGTAACAGGCAACACTGTACTCTACACAACACATGAATGGGATTTCAAAAATAATTTTTCTACGTGTATATTTTGCCACAAATGAAAAAACATTTATTAAGTACTTCCTATGTACTAAGTGGGGCAGTTAGGTGGTGCAGTGGATGGACTACCAGGCCTGAAGTGAGGAAAACTCCTTTTCCTGAGTTCAAATCTGGCCTTGGACACCTATTAGCTGTGTGACCCTGGGCAAGTCCCTCAACCCTGTTTGCCTCAGTTCCTCATCTGTAAAATGAGCTGAATAAGGAAATAATAAACCAGTATCTTTGCCAAGAAAACCCCAAATGGGGTCCCCAAGAGTTGGCCACAACTGAAACGACTGAACAACAACAACAAAATATTTTAAGTGCTGAGGATCAAACAGAAAAAGTCAGTTCCTGTTCTCAAGAGGCTCACTTTCTATTTGGGGAAAACAACACACAAAGGTGAGTTCAGTTTTGGGGTACATGGAAAGGTCCAAAGATTCTAAGGGTACATACATAGGACAGGAAGCTTTACGGGGGGACTAGGAGCAGGAAGGAAGTAGGGATTCTAGGTTCCCTCCAGCAAGAACGGAGATGGGGAGGTCTGTCCAGCAAGGAGGGAAAAGAGAAAAGGGACATGGGCAAGAAGGCTGGGCATGGAGATCTTGATAGCCTACAGCATGGGAAAGCTGCCCGCTTAATGGGCTGGGGCTCTCCAGGCCATGGGCAACTAAGGAAGACAGCTCCTAGTAGGACAGATGGTACATACTTATTCAAGGGAAAATAAGTGACTTGTGAAAAGTACTCGTTTATGTCAAAACATCTAAAGGCATGAAAGAATCGGGGACGGGGAGAGAAGCCATTTAAAAACCATTAATTTACTTACTTCACAACAAATTTTAAGAATCAGCACCTAAATATAACTATTTTAATTACAAGTGTATGTAGGCTCTAGGGAACTCATTTACTTTCATCTTCTGTCCTACAGGAAAGAATATCTCTTCTAAACTCACCCTCTTCAGAGTGTGATCCTGCAATAAGGTGAAGATGTTGAACACAGGCTGTGGCAAGATCTACCACTCTGTCAACCATAAAACTTCCTTCTGTATCAAGGAATATGGCTTCACCTGCTACTCCTCCAAAACATTCTGGGATCTGTACATCTACTGCCAACTGCATGCTGTGAAGAGATAAAAAATCAAAAGAAGTGAGTGTCACTCATGGCCCATGGCCACTAAACATCATGTTCAGCCTAAGGAGGAGGCAGACTTGTCAATTTCAAGCTCAGGGAGGGGTAAGCTTGACACTGGCGATTGGATTCCCTTGGAGCTACCTGGGCCAGGCTTGGTCAAAGAGCAGATTTTAACTTTATCTCTTTAAATTTACCCTACTAGAGCCTGCAGGGCATGGTTTTAAATTGACAAACCTATATTTGGTAGTTATTTCTGGCTGGCATCACAACAAAACAAATTTATTTAATGTAAAAATGAGATCTTAAAGAATAAGATAAATATTTTCTAAGCAACATTTAGAGTTGAGCAGAGAAATAATTCCTGTGTTAATGAAAAAAGATTTATTAAGTGTTTACTATGTGCCAAGTACAATGTTAAGTGTTGGGGACACAAAAATGAAGACAACTCTTGACCTCAAGGAGCTGATATTTTTTTCTAAAATTAAAATTACATTCTAATTCTATAGTCCTAATACACAACGAAAAGTGATGGCCAGAGAAGAGACACTTTGGTCAGAAAAGTTATTGGGATGGTCAATGGGCCATAAAGAGTAGATTGGCAGACTTCAACTAGGAAGAACAGAGTTGATGTGATCATGGTTCAAGACTGGGGGTGGGGGGAGGAGAGACCAAACAGGCTGGTAATGAGGAGATGGCCAGAGGAATAGGAAGTATAACAGATAATGGCAGGGGCTTTCCGGAAAAAGTGTTCAAGGAAAGGTAGTTCCCCCCTCACCCCCATCCTCCCTCAGAATAGAAGACCCAGGGCAGATAAGAAATGATAAGGATAATAGCTACAAGAGCACTAAACAGTGTGATGACAGGTGGGGTGAAAGGTTGAGAAGTGGTATTAAATAACACTTTATTTTTGGTGGGAAGTTGGAGAAGAGAACCTGTGATTTCACTGGCATGAGAAACTCCTGACATGGAAACGCCCTTCACCAATGAGATAAAGACTGTCAAGACTGTAACTTAAGAGATTTGCCTGGGGGGCAATGATAGGTTGAGTGACTGCCCATGGTCACTAAGCTAGTCCATGCCAGAGGTAGAATTTGAACCTGAGGCCAGCCCTTTACTATACTATGCTATCCTATATCTTTATATGTTCGTGAAGAATATCAAAATGGCACAAATGCAAATTACAGATGTTAAAGATAAGCCCCTGACCTTTTAAAGATGATATAATAAGTGACAATCCCTATACATGCTTACATATTGTCTCTCTCTCCCATCAGACTGTGAGAATCTCAAGAGAAAGGACTATTTGCTTTCTGCCTTTCTTTGTATTCCCATCAATTAGCACAGTGCCTAGAACATAGCAGGCACTTATTAAATGTTAGCTGATTGAATGACTGAACATTTTCTCTTAGAAAATATGCCAGCAGAATATTAGGTTGTTTCCAACAATGCTGAAATCCACTAAAGCATTTCTTATAGTCTAATGCCCATAATAAAACAAAAATGCATATTTATCAAATGGGGCTCTTTAGTAATACAAAAAAGTGAGCACCCTCTAATTTTATTTTATACATACATAGAAATAAAAGCTTCTAGGTTTAAATTTTTTTTTACTGAACAGAGAGCTACAACTCAGAAGCCCATTAAATAATTTTACATGTTACTACGCACATTTTTAAAAGTGACATTTTTTTTTTACCATAACTGTGTTTTTCCAACACCTGGCGCACCACAAATCTCTGTTGTCTTGGTTAGGGGTATTCCACCCCCCATAATATTATCCAGTGCTGAACAAAAGGTAATTATATAGCCCTGGGTGTGTTCTTGCTCAAGAAGTTCCAATGCTGTACATTTCTTGCCTGATGCGGACACGGAAGCATATTTTGACATATCCATTGGGCATTCCCGCCTTATTATTTGTAGTGTTTCTAGAGCTTCTTCTTTAGAGATTCCAACTTCTGAAAGTTAAAAGAAAATTAAATATAATTTTAAAAAAGATTTTATTTTAAGAACAAGGGTAAAACAATAACCTGTAAAATAATCATGTATTTATCTTCTCTCACTTTAATCAAGGACAAGGTCCTAGGCATGCAGAAACATTAATACAACTTGATTATGAACCTGGATCTTATCTCTCATGTAAAATTATTACCTTATACCATATGCTACAATCAATATTAAATGGATATGTGATCTTATTAAAAACGATATAAAAATTAGAAGAGAAGTTGATCGTACACTTGGGTAGAAGATGTAATAGAGACAGAGGTAATCACAGAATATAAAATGGGTAACTTTGATGACATGAAACTGTTTGATTACAAGAAACTATGGTTCTGCACAAACTAAATTAAGGCACCTAGGATAAAAGGAGAAATAGTCAAATGGGAAAATATCTTTGTATAAAATTTCTCTGATAAGGGTTTGTGTGTCCAAAGTAAAAAGTAGATAAATGAAAGACTACAAGCAATTCCCTAATAAGTAAGTGTTTAAAAGATATGAACAGTTTTCAATAGAAATGCAAACTGTTAACCATATAAAATAATGCTCTGAATCACTAATATTATTGAGAAATGCAAATCAAAACAACCCTGAAGTTTCCACCTTACGCCACGCAAATTGGCAAAGAGGAGAAAAAATAATTATTAATACTGAAGGGGTTGTGAGAAAACAGGCATACTAGTATATTGTTAATGAAGCTGTGAATCAATTTGGAATTATTCAAATATAAAGTGACTAAAATTTCCATACCCTTTTGGGCCAGACATTCCACTACTAGGATTTTACCCCAAGGATGTCATTGATAAGAAGACAGGCCCTATTTACACCAAAATATTTATAGCAGCATTTTTTGTGACAGCAAAGAATTGGAAACAAAGAAGATGTCCATTGATTGAGGAATAACTAGACAAATTGTGGAACAGGAATGTAATGGAATATTATTGTGATAAAAAAACAACAAATATGACAGATACAGAAAAGCATAAAAATATTTACACAATCTGATTCGGAGTCAAGTAATCAGAGGCAAGAAAACAATATACTATATAACATACTAAAACAATGGAAATGACCACACAACAATCAAAAGCGAATGTTGTGAAACTGCAAAGAACAATCAATCATAATTCCAAACAAGAGATTTGAGAAGACACTCCTTCCCTGGCCCTTGACAGGAGTAAAAATCCACAGGTTTGGTACACTGCACATATTTTCAGACTTTTTTGACGTATTTATCAGTTTTACTGATTTTCTTTTCTTTTTCTTAAAAAAAAAATCATTTGTCATATGAGAGGCTCCCTGGGAGGAGAGGGAGGAGAGGGGATTCTGAGGGAAATGGTTGCCATGTAAAAAAGTAAGAGATCAATAAAAATTATATGGACACCATGCACAGTATTTAATGTCATTAAACTTTTTTATTATATATTTTACAGATATTTATGATATGTCAAATGATTTATCACTGTTTTCCAGATCTTACATAAGAACAAGAGAGGGCCAGCAACTCCACCACTCCACCCCAATAATGGATCTCTTGTCTCCCCCTGCTGGTCAAACGATTTCAGAACTATTTTGCTTCAACACGTTTTTCAAAAATTTTGCCTCAAGATGTCTTTCATCTCTGCAAAATGAGACATTTTATGAGGTTATATGTACATTCGTGTTCCATTCAGACCAGTAGTAACAATACATAGTGGAAAGTATACTGGACTAGAAACAAAAGTCCTGAATTATAGTCTTGATATTGCCATACACTAACCTTGGCATTCACTTAACTACCTGAGCTTTGTCTTCCTCATCTATATATAAAATGGGGATGCTAATGCCCCGCTTATTTCACAAGGTTGTTGTGATTAAATAAGAATGCCACATACTTCTTCAAGTGTAAAACTGATCCAACTAAATAAATATGAGGCCCACTAGGATGGAGGAGATAATAGAGCACTGAGTGATTTTGGAGAACATGAATGAGGCTGCATTTAGGGGGCCTAAGTTTCATGTAAGGTTAGTGACATTGGGTCATCAGCAGAGAATACCTGTCCCAGCCCCACCTAGCATACAAACAAAATCATATGTCAATGGTCTTTTGATAATATTAGATTGCGTTAAGCTTCCCAGATATGCAAAGACTATTCACTTGACATTATCTAATGGCACAAAGAGAACTTGGTGGTAACAAAGCAGGAATTCAGCTATCCAAAGGAATTTCAGGCAGTGAAACTAAGAAAATATGAGTTTATGCGAGATATTTTTTTAACACCACTAGTAGAATTTTCAATGAATCCAGAAACCCTATTGATAGAGGCCCAACCTTCCTAGTTGATGACTTTCTTGACATAATTAAAATAGCCAAACAATCCTCAATGTCAAATCTACCATGAAGAAATTATTCACACAAGATTTAGCAGCTTCTACATTAAAGGACCACAGGGCATGAAATATAATATTCCGGAGGGCAAAGGAGATAGGATTACAACCAAGAATCACCTACCCAGCAAAACTGAGTATAATCCTTCAGAGGAAAAAATGGTCATTCAGTGAAATAGAGGACTTTCAAGCATTCCTGCTGAAAAGACCAGAGCTAAATATAGAAAATTTGACTTTCAAATACAGGACTCCAGTGGAACATGAAGAGGTAAACAGGAAAGAGAAATCATAAGAGACTTATTGAGATTGAACTGTTTACATTCCTGCATGGAAAGATGATATTTGTAACTCATGAGAACTTTGTCAGTATTAGGGTAGTTGAAAGAAAAAAATTACATGTATGCATATACAGATAGACAGAGGCCACAGGGTGAGTTGAAGATTAAGGGGTCATATCTGGAGAATAAAATTAAGGGATGAGAGAGGATGATACTCGGAGAAGAAAGGGAGAGGTAGAATGGGGTAAATTATCTCACAAAAAAAAAAACAGAAAAGAAAAGTCTCTCACAGTGGAGGGGAAACAGGGGAAGGTGAGAGGGAATGAGGGAAACTTATTCTCATAGGATTTGGCTTAAGGAGATAATAACATACACATTCAATTGGGTATGGAAATCTGTCTTACCCTACAGGAAAATAGGGGGAGAAGGGGACAAGAGAGCAGGGGGATGATAGAGAGGAGGGCAGATTGGGAAAGAGGGCAATCAGAAGCAAATACTTCTGAGGAGGGACAGGGTCAAAAGAAAGAATAGAATAAGTGGGAGGGCAGGATAGGAATAAGGGAAATAGAGTTAGTTTTTCACAACAGGTCTACTATGGAAGTGTTTTGCATAACTGCACATGTACAACCTATATTGAGTTGCTTGCCTTTTCAATAAGGATGGGTGGGGAGGGAGGAAGGGAGAAAATTTGGAACTCAAAGTTTTAAAAACACATATTTTTAAAAAAATATTCTCACATGCAACTGGGAAATAAGAAATACAGGAAATGGGGTACAGAAGTCTATCCTGCTCTACAGGAAGATAGAAGGGGAAGGGGATAAGAGAAGGGAGGGGGGAGAGATAGAAGAGAAGGCAGACTAGGGGAAGGGGTATTCAGAATGCATACCACCTTGGGGTGGGGGGAGGGGTGAGAAATTTGGAACTCAAAAACTTGTGGAAGTGAATGTTGAAAACTAAAAATAAATAAATTTATATTTAAAAAAAAAAGAAATTATTCAGATGGGCATTTTAGCAATAGACAGCATAACCAGCATTGCTAAGAGGCATAAAATTCCCATCTTTTAGGCTGCTGGCTTACCCCACAATGAGATATTGCAGCTCAGATCTGTCATCAAGACTGGTTTGTTAAAGAAATCCAAAGATAGTGTGATCTATAGGGAGGAGAATTTTGTCACTATATTTGCAAGGGGTAAAAACAACAATCCTTCAAATCTGACTCAGAAAAAAAGATCTCAGTGGACAATGTTTTCAAAACAAAACAAATGTGGTCAATGACTCAACCACTGAGTGTATCACTCCCAGTGAGACTGTAAGGATATCAACATTCCTGGCCTATCTGTGTGAAAAGCACGAGCTGGTTGTTCAAACAGATAGGAATTCTTATGCTGAATCTCTTCTGAAAGGTCTCAGGAGACTAAGAAAAAGTTCCTGGGGGCAGCTAGGTGGTGTAGTGGATAGAGCTCTGGTCTTGGAATCAGGAGGACCTGAGTTCAAATCAGTTTCACACACTTGACACATACTAGCTGTGTGACCCTGGGCAAGTCACTTAACCCCAACTGCCTCACCACCAAAAAAATTAAACAAGTTATAAATTCCCAAAAAGAAAAAAAGAAACATGACCAGATGGACTTGAAAGTGAATTCTGTCAAATATCCAAATAAAAATTAATTATGATATTACATAGTTTGAAAAAAATAAGGAAAGAAGGTATCCTATTAGGTATGTAAATGTATAGCTTATATCAGATTGTGCACCATCTTGGGGAGGGTGGTGGGAAGGAAGGGGGAGAAAAATTTTAAACTCAAAAGCATATGGAAGTGATTGTTGATAAATCAAAATAAATTAGTAAAATTTTTAAAAGAAAAAAGAAAAAAGGTATCCTATTAGCCAAACTCCTTCTGTGAGACAAATATGGACTTCATCTCTAAACCGGGAAGAGACAAAGCATAGGAGAAAAAAACCCCAAAACAACTATAAACCATTATTTCTAATGAATATCAAAACAAAAACATTGAATAAAACATCAGCAAAAAGACTATGACAACATATTAAAAGATCATACCTATATATCAGGGATGCAGAAACAGATCAATATTAGGAAAACCATAAACAGGCCACATTAGACAGGTAGGTGGTATAATGGATGGAGTCCTGGAGTTAGGAAGACCTAAATGCAAATATGATCTCAAACACTTATTAACTATGTGACCCTGAAGTCACTTTACCTCTGTCTGCCTCAGTTTCCTCAACCACAAAATGAGGATAATAACAGCATCTAGTTCCCAGGGTTATTGTGAGGATTAAATGAGATATTTGTAAAGTGCTTATTAGCATAGTGCCTAGTATATAGCAGGCATTTATTAAATATTTTATTCTTTCTCCATTAACAATTTAAAAAATCATGTTTTATTAATAGATACAGAAAAGGCCTTTAGCAAAACACAGTATCACTTTTTGTTAAAAACTCTGAAAAGGACTAGAATAAATAGACCTTTCCTTCATATTCTAAACAGTATCTAAGACTAAGAGTCAGAATTTTTTATAATGGATAACTGCTAGAAGCCTTTCCAATAAGGGGGAAAGCAAAGACGTCCACTGTTACTGCTCTAATCTGATTTAACTCAAGAAAAATTATCGATAGTAATAAAACTAGAAAAAGAAATTGAACCAATAAACATAGGCAAAGAGGAAACAAAATTACTGTTTTTGGAAAATGTTTTGTTTTATTCAGAGAATCCTAGAGATTCAACTAATAAAATTAACTGAAATAATAACATCAGGAAAGTAATAAGATATAAAATAAAACCACAAAAAATCATTAGCCTTTCTTGTAAATTACCAACAAAACCAAGTAGGAAGAAATAGAAAGAGATAGTCCATTTAGAATATAGAATATATAAAATATTTAGGAATAATCTCCCAAGATACACATAGGAATTTATATGTAGATAACTACAAAACACTTTTTACAGAAATAAACAAATAATGGATTGGAAAGATTAATTGTTCATAGTGGACAATTTAATAAAAATGACTACCCTAATTCAATACCATACCAACCCAACTATCAACGTCATTTTGTAGAACCAGAAATATTATTACAAAGTTTCTGTGAAGGAAGAAAAAGTCAAGAATCCCAAGAGAAATAATAAAAAAAGCATAGGATGGAAAGAGGCTAGGAGTATTAGATATCAAGCTGTATAACAAAGCAGTAAACCTGGTGCCAGTCAAATTCACGTTACCAAATCTCAACTGGAATCTCAGTACTGCAAAGCAATCCTTTCTTACTCACCAAGTGACTCTCTAACACTGTCTTCCCAAAATCAGCGTTCTAAACCTTTTCCTTCAAATCCCTTGTGTTGCAATTGCCAACCCATCCTCTTTCAGACAAGGCTACTGACTCCTATTTCACTGAGAAAATCGAGGTCATTCTTTGTCTAGGCATCAAAATCCTTCTCTCTAAAGAACAGATGGCCCATCTTGAAAAAGGGATTGCCCTTTGTGCACAGGCACAAGTGCAATAGAGGCAGAACTGTGAACTGGTCCAAACATTCTGGAAAACAACTTGGAATTTTTATATGAAAGTGACTAAAATGTCCATGCTTCTAGGGATTTGATTGCTAGGAGGTCAATGATAACTAGAATGGCCCCATTAAAAAAAAATTAACAGCTCCTCTTTCTGTAGTAGCAAAGAACTGGGGTGGGAGGGAAGGCAGGGAGTAGATACCCATCAAATGCAGAATGACTAAACAAATCATGGTACATGAATGAAATGGAATGTTAACAAAGCAAAACAAAACAAAACAAAACAAAACATTGAATAGCAAAAATACAGAGAAGCATGGGAAGCCAAATATTATTATGTAATTATAATGACCAAGCTTGTCTCAAAGAGAGGAGAAAATATATCTTTATCCTTAGTAAAGATGAAGAGCTATGGGAATGAAATACGGCATATACTGTCGGCCTTGAATGACATGTTGGTTACTTTTGCCAACTTGCTCCCCCCCCCCGCCCTTTTTTATCCTTTGTTACAATAAATGGTGCTCTCATAGTATGTGTTAGAAGAGTGGTTGGAGAAGAGAGGGAAGGATATTTGAAAATAAAGGCTCTGTAAAAAACAAAAGGTATTAAAATTTTAAAGGCCAACCCTTCTACTTGCACCTTTGATCCTATTCTCTTTCTTTTCTGTAGGGTTTGAACTTTGGGATTCATTTCCCCTCTCCCTCTGCCTCTTTCCCTTATGCTTATAAACAGGCCCAGGTCTCCCTCATCCTTAAAAGACTGCATACACTAACAAACTGTTGGTTAAGCAATGAATTGGTCCAGCCCAGAGGTGGGGAACCTGTGGCCTCGAGGCAGAAAGAGGTTCCCCACCCCTGGTCTAGTCATTCTGGAAAGCAATCTGAGACTGCCCATTATTTCTAGGCCTATACCCCTAAAAAAACCAAAACAAACGAACAAAAAAAAAAACAAGAGGAAAAAGATCCATATGTACAAAAATATTTATAGCAACTCTTTTCATAGTAGCCAAAAATAAGAAACTAGGGACATGTTCTATTTGGGGATGACTAGACAAAATTGTAGTATACAAATATAGTGGAATATTCTTGTGCCATGATGATGAAATGGTCAATTTCAGAGGAATCTAGAAAGACCCTTATGGACTGATGCTGAGCAAAGTGAACAAAAAAAAAATACTAGGAAAACAATTTACACAATGAGTATAGAGGAAAAATTTAGAAAGATTTTAGAACTCTAATAAAAGCAATGATAAAACCAGGAGTCCAAAAGAACAAAACATGACACTCCCCTCCTCCCAGAGATATGATATACTTAAAATTCAGAAAGGACATAACTTTTAAGGCAAAAGAAATTTGCTTTCTGAGGTTTTTTGAAAATTTGCTTGATGAGGAGGGGAACAATGGGACAGATTTGTTTAAAAAATACTTGAAAAAAAATAAGAATAGACTACATTTGTTTCCTCTACTTCCTTACCTTCTAATCACTTCTTAAACCCTTGGTTTTGACTTCCAATCCTACCATGAAACTGGAAGTACTCTCTTAAGGCTTATCAACAATTTCTTAATTGTTAAATCTGATTGCCTTTTCCCAGGCTTTAATCTAGTTGGCAGCTAAGTGGCACAGATAGAGCATCAGGCTTGCAGTCAGGAAGACCTGAAATCAAATATGATCTCAGACACTAGCTGTGTGAATGACTGACCATGGGCAAATCACTTAACCCTGATTGCCTCAGTTTTCTCATCTGTAAAATGAAACTGGAGAAGGAAATGGCAAATCACTTCAGTATCTCTGTTAAGAAAATCCCAAATATTGTCACAAAGATCCAGACATGACTAAAATGACTGAACAACATCCTAGCTGACCATTTATAGACCACCCTTTCCTCCTGCATATTTTCTCCTCTCTTGGCTTCCAAGACACCACTATTTACCTCTATGCCCATTACCTCTCAGTATCCTACCATTCAACTCTCATCCCTTAAGCATAAACGCATTCTCCCACCCTCTCTTCCCCCTTTGTCTTATCTACCACACTTCTTCTCTTGGTGGCCTCATTTATTCCTAGGTATTAAATTGCCATCACTATGCAATCCCAATCTTTATATCTAGCTCTAACTATCCTAATCTTCAATTCTGCACTGCCAGTTGGCCAACACTGATCAATATCCTGCTAGCATCACAAATTCACTATTTTTCTTCATCACATCCCCAACAACTTCTCTACGTCTACTAATGGCACCACCATTCTTCTAGTCACCCAGGTTAGTAACCTTGCCTTTATCTTCTATTCTTACCTCTCCCTCAACACCCCCCCCCCATAGGTGCCAGGTCTTCTCAATTCTAACTTCATAAAATCTCTCACTTCTATTTCCCTCTTTCCACTTAAAACAGAAAAGAAGTCTCCTACTTTTAGGCCTTCATCTCCTCATCCTGGACTACTACAGTAACAATGACTAAATTGGCCTCCTTGCTTACACTTCCAAACTCCAATCTATCCTCCCTAGAGCTGCCCAAATCTTCCTAAGGATACATACATAATCAAGTCGCTTCCCTGATCAAAAGTATTCAGTGACTTCTGGTTGCCTCTAGGATAAAATACAAATACTAAAGAGATTGGACTAGCACCTGAGATTCCACTGACAGAGGATACTATCAAATGATACTCTCTTAACCTTAGAGATCTGCCTGGAGCACAGAGAGGTTAAGCAACTTGCTTTGGGGTCACACAGACAGTTCATATCAGAGACGTGACTTGAATCCAGAATTTCCTGGCTCTGCTAGGGCAGGAAGTCTATTCCCTACACCAAGGCTTCTTAACCTTTTTTTTTTTTTAAACCTCTTCAGCAGCAGTCTAGTGAAGCCTAACCCCTTCTGAAAATGTTTTTAAATGCATAAAAAAATACACAAGATTACAAAGGAAACAAATTATAATAAAATAGTTATAAAAATAATTTTAAAAAACAATTTATTTTGTTAAAAACAAAAAAAAAACAGACTCCAGTTTAAGAATATTAACGGACAACTTTACCACCTCCTCCCCGTTGTCAGTCAATTCAACAAATATTTACTAATCTCTTACAATGTGCCAGGTACTGTGCTAAACTTTGGTCATACAAAGGAAGGCAAGAACAATCCCTGCCCTAGAGAAGCTTACAGTCTCAAGGGAGGGAGACAACACGCAAACAGCTATGAAAATGAGATACATATAAGTGTATGTGGGCATATATGTACGTATATATACAGTTGGAGATTATTAACCATAGTCCAGGATGAGGTGACAAGGGCCTATACTAGACTTCTTTTCCACTTTAAGTGAAAAGAAGTAAATAGAAGAGAGATGTGATAAAGTTAGAATTCAGAAGAGCTAGCAACTGATTTCACACACACACACACACACACACACACACACACACACACACACACACGTTGTGTTGCTCATCTGTCCCAATTAATTAACCTCATATTTGCCGAAGTCAGGGGGTGGTTTCCGTCCCAGCTGTCCCTGCGCCAGGCCCTGAGTACGTCCTCTGATCTCATTAAGTAGGTATACATGTGGAAGCTTCCCTCAGCAAACCCGCCTCGCCAGAGAAATCCGAGAAGGGGGCGGGCGGCCCGGGGAGCGCTGCCAAGCCGCGAAGGCGGCCATGGGCCTCGGGGGCGCTGGCACCTGCGGGTGCCCGGAAGGACTGGGCAAGGGGGCGGCCGCTTCCCACCTACCTCTGCTGATCTCCGAAGGCTTCAGCTCCAGGAGCTCCTCGGCCGTCTGGAAGCCTGCGCTCACCAGTTTTACTCGCACACCAGGGGCCAGTGGGTAGCTCCCCAAGTCCCGCTGCATGGCAGCCCCCGCACACTCCACACCACCAGCATCCGGGATTCGGGCTAGGCGCCCAAACCGAGAGACACGCCCCCTCTCGTGACGTCAGACGCCCACCACCTGGGAGCGAGGCCGTGCAGTCCCCGCCTTCGAGGGCGGGAACCTCCAGGCTGCCAGCTCAGGGCCGCCCTGTACATCCTCTTTCTTCGCTCTCCGCCACTGCGCCTCCCACCTGCTAAAGCGAGGAAAGGGCAGCTAGGTGGGGCAGTGGCCTGGAGTCAGGAAGACCCGAGTTCAAATCCAGCTTCAGACACTTGACCCTTACTAGGTGTATGACTCTGGACAAGTCACTTAACCCCGATTGCCTCACCCAAAAGCTAAATAAATAAATAAAGCGAGGAAAGGCGGGAATTAGGAAGATGTATAGCCCGCGATGATGCCAGCGGCGAGCAGCTTTAGGACCATTAGGTGGAAGTGACCGGGCAGTCCGAAGGGGACTCATTTTTTTTCTTCCACATACACCTCCAAACAGTCGGTGGGGTGGCGTTAGCCCGCACAGACAGCACTTTTGACTGGTCTGGAAACCCTCCCTTCCCTTCCCCTGTCCCAAAAGTCTTCAAAGGGTCCAGAAGACTGAATCTGCGAGACCTCCGGCCTCTTTCCCGATTCGCCTCCCTCGATACTCCCGACAACCCCTGGGGCCCCCTCACCAACACCGCCTCTCCTCTCCCCTCACCCCCGCCCCCGCGCGCTTTCCCGCCCTCGCGAGGGATTGTGGGCTGGGAGGCGCGCCCGCGCCTCGTCCTCGCTCTCGGCCTCGTTCTCATCGTCTCAGCTCTTCGGACCGCCACCCCGCAAATCCGCCTGCGTGAGATAATGGTGGTTCCCGAGACCGTTAGCTCGCCACTCCTTGTGTAGCGAAAGGAATAACTGGAGGAGAAAGCAAGTAAAGAGCAACCCAGAGAGGGAGGGCCCAGACCAAGGGATGGGTGATGGGACCTCGAGGAGGACCCAGTGAGGTGGCGGGGAGCAGGCCCTTGCCTGGAAAATGGCTGTGGAGTTGAAGGGCGTCCGTAGGCCTCATAAGCGGACTGTTAGGAGCCAGTACCTTCCTTGCTTTCTCCAGTGATATTGTTAAGTCTGCTAGGCAGGGGAATCTGGCCGTTTTAGGTAGATCATGTTGAGAAATATATTGCTTTAAGGTTTGTAACTCATTCTACAAGTATCTCATTTTAATCTCACAACCCTAGGAGACAGGGGCCGTTTATTATCTCTATTTTACAAATAGGGATATTGAGGCAGAGCAAGAGTTAGTGACTTGCCCAGGGTCACACAGCAGGGAGAGTCTGAGGCTGGATTTGAACTCAGGCCTTATTGACTCCAGGTCCAATACTGTATCCACTGTTGTACCTGGCTGCTGCCTTTATAAAACAGTAGATTGAACAGATATAATTCTGTGTTGTTTTCATTCTTAAATTTTAGAGCAAAGATAATCCTTAAAAACTTGGCCAAAATTTGACCTTCCTGCCACTTGTCACATAGATAGCATGGTTTCCAGTGTGGTCATCCAAGCATGTGGTAGTTGCTACAAAAAGTAGAAATGGTCTGTAGGAGGCACAAAAATGGTCACCCCCCTATACTGAACTCTCAGGTCTATTGGACAGATAGGATCTGATCCTGAAATGATTCTTCTAAATTGGAGGTTCTTAACCTTTTTTGAGTGTCATGAACTCCTTTGGTGATTTTAGTGAAGCCTATAGAGTTCTTCTAGAGTTAATGTTTTTAAATGCATAAAATAAAATGCCAAGGAAAGAGAGGAAACTAATTATATTGAAATAGTTACCAACTTTTTTTAAAGTTTACAGACCACAGATTAGAATCTCTGTTATAAATTGATTCTATCCCTCTATTAAGGAATTAGGAATTTGATGCCCATAGAGGTTGACTAAGAGGAGCCTTAAGGGTAGTAAGTGATAGAATTCAAAAACCCTAGCCTTCTGACTCTAAATCTAATGCTTTTCCCATTGTATTATACTTCCTTTATATAAAGCAGTCCCACTGGTGTGGTGTTAGGGCAAAAATAACTAGGTTTGTAGTCAGTGGACTACAACTAGTCTACTTGTGACCTGCTTGTGTTACCTTGGCCAAGTCACTTCACCTCCCTGGGCCTCAGTTTTATAGTGTATAAAATGAGGGAGTTGGACTCTAAATCTGTGAATTACTGAATCTCTACTTTGTTCAGGGCATTGAACACATGGTATTATTATTCTAATAGAGTAGGCAGTGATAACTTTTAAATTAGTATAATTAAATTTAATAGTGAATAATAAAAGTAATAAAATTATAACTCCCTTGTTACTATCCAGAGCTGCACCATCCTCTTAGTCACTCAGGCTCGCAACCTTGGTGTCATCCTCAACTACTCCATCTCTTTCCCACATCCATCTGTTGCCAAATCTTGTTGAGTATACCTAGCAATACCTCCAGTGTATACTCCCTTCTCTCTTTTGACACTTATACCACCTTGGTGTAGGCCTTCATTACGTCATGGCTGGACCATTACAATAATCTTCTGGTTGGCCTCAAGTCTCTTTCTCAATTTGGCTGTCAAAGTGGTCTTCCTAAGACACAGGTCTGACTATCACCCACTTATTCAGTATACTTCAATAGCTTCCAGTTACCTCCAGGATTACATCTAAATTCCTGTTTGGGTTTTAAAGCTCTTTATAACCTAGCCACTTCATACCTTTCCGATCTTCATAAACCTTCCCTTCCATGTCCTGGTCTCCTTGATGTTCCTTACCCAAGACTCCATCTTCCAACTCTGTACATTTTTACTGGCTGTCCCCATTGCCAGGAATGCTCTCCTCCTTCGTCTCTGATTTCTGACTTACTCAAGGCTAAGCTAAAATCCCACCTTCTGCAAGAGATCTTTCCTGTGCCCTCTTCATGTTAGTCCCTTGCCACTGAAATTGTCCTCAATTATTCTCATTAGGTATTTATTAAATGCCTACAGTATGCCAGGCACTGTGCTTATTATTTCATGAAATACAAAGAAAAGCAAAAAACAGTTCCTGTTCTCAAGGAGTCTGATAGGGGAGACAACATGAAAATAACTATGTGCAAACAAGATAGATATGAAATAAATTAGAGCAAATAATAGAGCAAATAAACAATAGAGCAATATCTATCACTAGCATTAAAGATGATCAGGAAAGGTTTCTTGTAGAAGGTGAAACCTGAAGAAAGAAAGGAAGCCAAGAGGCAAAGATAAAGAGGAAAAGTATTCCAGGTGTGGGGGACAGCCAGTGAAAATGCATGGAGTTAGGAGATTGAGTATCTTGTGCTTGTGAGGCACACCAGAGAGGCCAGTGTCGCTGTGTTGCAGGATGTGCATGGGGAGTAAAGTGGAAAAAGACTAGAAAGGTAGGACAGAGTCAAATTGTGAAGGGCTTTGAATACCAAACAAAGAATTTTATATTTGATCCCAGAAGTGATAGGGTGTTGTTGAGGTTTAGAGTTGGGAGAGCTGATTCAGGTGTGAAAGAATTCACTTAAACTTTCTTGTAACCATTGGGAGCTTTTTTGACACAAAATCATCGGGCTAGCCCTGGAAAGAGGACTAGCAATTTACAGAGGGGTAGGGGTCTGTTTTGTCTTATAGGAGAAGGGGAGGGATTGTCATGACACAGGATGAGGAAGATGGATGACAGGATAGGGGACCCAGGATAAGGAAAATGGGAAATTTTATGACTCAGGAGGAGGGAGACAAGGGATTTTTATGGTCTAGGAAAGGGGGGGAAGTTTTATGGTATCAAAATAAAGGAAGGAAACTCTAGGACACCCTCAAGTTCAGAAGGGGCCTCACAAAATACTGGAAAAACAACCCTTAATTTTTTAAATCTTTTAGGGCACTGTTCACTTTTACATCAGTGTCACTGAAGTTTATTGAATAGGAGGTGACATGGTCATATCTGCATTTTAGTAAGACTAATTTGACAGCTAAGTAAAGGATGGACTAAAGAGGAGAGACACTTGAATCAGGGAAACCAACCAGCAGGCTGTTGCAGTAGATCAAGTGCGAGGTGATTGAGGGCCAGTATCAGGGTGGTAGTGATATCAGAGGAGAGAAGGGGGAGGACAAGAGATAGTTGTTACAGTCTTGGTAACAGATTGGATATGGGGGATGAGAGAGAATGAGGAATTGAAGATGACATCTGAGCCTGGATGACTGGGAGGATGGTAGTTCCTTCATCAATTAAAAGAAAATTCAGAAGAGGAGGAGGATTTTGGGGAAAAGGATGCATTTAATATTTCTGATTTTCTTCATTTGGTTGTGAGGTTTTTATACCCCTAATGGCTAGGTTTGGTTATTTTTTGTTTTTGTTTTTTTTTTTCAGTCAGAGACAAGGTTTATTAAAGATCCGCCATATTAGCCAGATTCTGAGGAAGGAATCTGAGCACCTGTGAGCCATTGGCTAGACTGTAAAAAAATCTGAGTACTGGCTACATTTTAAGAATCTGAGCACAAGGTGGTCCTTACATACAGAAAGACTGTGAGACAGATCTAGGAGTGGCCAAGTAGTCTTTGAGGACTGTGAAGTAATAGAATGCCAGGGCTCTGGACCACAGTGGCCATGGGAGAATGGAGCCTAGCTAGGATTAAGGGTGGGGAAGTAGCCTGGGGCCATAAGGAAGTAAGACAGTGGAGGGCTAGGCCAGGTTAAGGGTAGCAGAGGATTGGGAGATTGGGTTTAGCCACAGTGAAAGGCCAGTTGATGGGATTATGGCCTCAGGCAAACACCAGAGATTTGGCCATGTGGGAAAGTCCAGGGTTTTTCCTTTCTGGGGTCCTGATCCCAACCCCATTTCCCCCCCTCAAACAAATGGGACCCAAATTCTTTTGGGGTAAGGGGCCAAAGTCTTGGCTTCTGAAACTGCTTCCTACTGGCAAGGGGCTTTGAGCTGTCCCTGCCTCGAGGGGGTCCCAAAGAGGAGGTTAACTGGAACTGAGCACAGGCTGCATCCAGGGAATGGGGGGGGACATTGGCTACCCGATGATTGCTACCAACTGTAGGTGAATGGCCTATAGTCTGGAAGACACAAATCTGACAGAAAAGACTGCAAGGCGCAGATATGACAGGATAAAACATCCATAGCTCTGTTTGGATTCAGATAATTCAGTTTTCCAACTATGCAATACCAAATCCACCTCATAGCCAGACTCAGGAATAGCCAAGTG